ACCGTACACCATTGCTGTGGAGAGCGTATCTTCTACGTTTCCTACATTATTTCCTATCGTATCGTGCATATTTTGTATCCGTACATGTCGATACGGCCTTTATCCGGGAGCCCTGTATTCTTACATACCAGCATATACAACAGCTTGTTCTAGATGTACATATACAAGCAACATATGGCTCAATCGCCGACTTGAATTCTAATGTCCATGTAATCGAAGAAAAGATCCTTCACAAACAGGTTGAGCCTATTTCCATGTCCCCTTATCTAAGTTTTACTAGATGAGATGCCAAATATGCCTCTTGCATAAACACAAGTTTCAAACTGAATCGCATTAACAAGACATGAAATCAAGTTATATATACAGACTTGGCTTTAAATGGGACATTCAGTAGTACTTTGTGAGAATAAATGGAGTTGTACCCCGAAGGCCAAATTCCCACCTATTCATGTGCCTCATCTCACACAAGGATATGCAGTCAGCCATCCGTGAACCTTGGCTGAACCTTGCCCCACAGCAATCTGAATCACCACCTCATTGTATCGCCATCAGAATAGCTGTTATTCACTTATATACATTCTTGAAGATAAGAGATTACTCTGACAGATCATTCAAGTCTAATGACCGATATACAGTCATACCTGTTAATGCCAAGGTGAGGTGTCCCTTTGAATACCTGTGCATGACCTGGGAAGAACTGAAGACAAGTAGAGACACCATTAAACCATCGCTTGAACAGGAGAAAATTGTCAGCTGAGATGTCAATTTAAGCAGAATTATTTTTAAACAAGTCTTTATTTAAAAAACCCCAAAAACCCTTTAGACAGTACCAAAGGACGTACAATTGAATACAGAAAAACAATGGAATCGTCACAGCTGATGTTCTACCACACATGCATGGACTGTTTCTGGTAGTCGTCATGTGGCCACAAAATGGTATTCTTGACCACTGAATAATATTCTCTCATTTGTCAGTTTTACGATACTGACTGTTACATAACAAACATGCATAAAACTTGAAAACGAGACACCTCAGAGCTGTTTGATCAGCAACTTTAGCAAAAATCAATGTCCAATCAGGAAACGTAATGGCTATTTCATGGAATCGATCTCCGTGAATCATCCATGCTCAGGCAATAACAGCAGACCAAAGCGGACAAACCTAGGGAGAGGCCTAACTTACTGGGATGCAATGGTGCAATTTGTCTGAAGTTCACATCTCCAGAAAGTAGAGGACGACCATACAATTACTGCAGCCTGACTGAGTGAGGTTTATGTCATTATAACCTGTGTCCTATGATATCACACTGGGGGACGTTTAAAGAGTATTTCTTAATCATGTGACAAGCTGATTCACTATGTAACACAATGATGGGATCTATTCTATCAGTCATCAGCACCCAGTTGGACCACCACTATGTAACACAATGATGGGATCTATTCTATCAGTCATCAGCACCCAGCTGGACCACCACTATGTAACACAATGATGGGATCTATTCTATCAGTCATCAGCACCCAGTTGGACCACCACAACATTGATTCACATGTAACACAATACAGGATCTATTCTGACCACTAGTAGGGACCATCTGACCACTTGTACTATGATACACAATGATGGGATCTATTCTACAGGGTCATCTGACCCAGTTGGACCACCATACATGTCTATCTGACCACAATGACAGGGACTATCTATCACTTGTACAGATACATGGTCTATCTGACCACCACCACTACTATCTGACCACTTGTACAATGATGGGATCTATTAGTATCAGACTATCAGCACCCAGCTGGACCATCCACTACTAGTACAGGGACTATCTGGGACCACTATTCTATTAGTCATCAGACCACAGTTGGACCACCACTATGTAACACATACATGGATCTATCTGACCAATAGTCAGGGCACTATCTGTTGGACTTGTACCATACATGTATCTGACCAAATGATGGGATCTATTCTATCAGTCATCATCTGACCAGTTGGACTATCACCACAGATATGGTCTACACAATGACAGGGACTATCTGACCACTTGTACAGATACATGGTCATCTGAGCACCTAGTACAGGGACTATCTGACCACTTGTACAGATACATGGTAGATCTGAATACAGGGTTGGATCTACTTCATCTGACCACCTGTATACAGTCTGGCTGACCACTAGTATTGGGACTATCTGACCACTTGTACAGATACATGGTAGATCTGACCACTAGTACAGGGACTATCTGACCACTTGTACAGGGACTATCTGACCACCTGTATACAGTCTATCTGACCACTAGTACAGGGACTATCTGACCACTTGTACAGATACATGGTCTATCTGACCACTAGTACAGGGACTATCTGACCACTTGTACGGACACAGGGTCTATCTGACCACTAGTACAGGGACTATCTGACCACTAGTACAGGGACTATCTGACCACTAGTACAGGGACTATCTGACCACTTGTACAGATACAGGGTCTATCTGACCACTAGTACAGGGACTATCTGACCACTTGTACAGACACAGTGTCTATCTGAGTAAATAGGCTTACAAGAACATCACACCAGTAACATGTCTGCCACACAACCTACCCCGTGTACATATTTGTATTTATTTATTGTGCACCACTTCACAAGAAACTTGTGATGGCCTATTCACACCATCTAATTTTAACTTGTACAGAACTACCTCTGTCACCATCACCCTCTGCCATCCATGACATCACTAACATTGCTAACTGCCTCCATTGTGTAACCAGCATCACAACCATTATGTCCTCCAAGTGGTGCGTCAGAGCCTGCAGTATCTGGACAATCAGTGACAGGATATCCACCTATGGGCTCCATACAGTGACTGGAAAGGTGGATGGGACATCCTGACTCCAGCAATGTATGGCCGTGTTCCATCTGCCAACATGTCACGAATACAATCCCAGCCAGTGTAAGTGTCACATTAAGACACATGTGTGACACATTTCTTAGTTCTGTGCATGTATACCTCAACCAGCTCTGAATAATGAGCAGTGGTGGTAGATGAGTGAGTAATGAGTCAGTGAGTGAGTGAGTGAGTGAGTGAGTGAGTGAGTGAGTGAGTGAGTGAGTGAGTGAGTGAGTGATGATGGCTTAGGACTGAGTGGGTTTAAATTAGTGAAAGAGTGAATGTTGTTTTAATTGTACATAAATCACCCCAAACAGCCCAAATTATTAAACTGGTATATCAAATTGTTGGTCACAAATCTACGAAACATGTATATATTTTTCACCTTTTTAAATGTTAATACACAACATGTTTTATGGGCAACAACTTCTAAATGGCTTTCAAGAACATTTTTAAATGTTGAGCCAATTATACTATACACATATACTACCATATACTACTACCAAATCCACACAAAATAACAAATCATTCCCCAAACAGCACTCCAGATAATCACAGTGACCTTCACCAAAATATCACATTCTAAGATACACTTCTTAAGAAGTGTCTAAAATCAGGCTTCAAGGATATTACAAGACACTATCACAGCTCGTAACCAAAATAGCACCTCCAATCTGACTCACGATCATGCCATACTGACATATAAACTTTCATTGTAAAGGACACTGAATGTCATCTTCTTGCCAGTGGTTTATAAGATGAAGTCTAACGAAAACATCTCATTCCAGTGTATCATGCTCTAATAACTCCATTACAGATGAGATTATTTATTTACATTCTGTCACCACATGAACACATCAGTGTTCATCTGTCATCCCCCTGGCCACCACCACCACCCCCGCGGCATCACCACCACCGCAGAATGCACAAGCAACTCAATACACCTGTACAAATGGCACTTTGCCTGAATGTAAACATCACACAATCATTTCCCCGTGTTATTTTCAGCAAATGTCAAGAACTGCGTCACCCTTCAACCAGACTGCACGATAAACCTCAGAACCAAAAACACTGCCAAATACCTGATTATCACTCAACACCCCAAGCTAATTTAGTTCGATGTGGGTTAAGTAATCTGCAATCTAGAAGGGAATTAACAATGACGGGTAATCACGTTTGACATGGACGACTTGAGGAGGTCGTAAATGGTAAACTAACCTGAAATGGAACAGGGACATAAATCTATTCTACACGGCTCAAATAAGACGAATAAAGCTTAAAAAGAGAGAGATATCTCTGTGAGGCATGCTTGTAAATCAAACGCTGAAAATCTATCCATCTGTAAGTCTCCGGAGGTTATCATGGTCAGGTAGGATGGCAATACATAAGGGATTCTTGCATGGTCAGAAAACAGCAAGCGATCACTTACAATACAAGGAAATACTTCAAGACAGGGAACCTTCAGAATGTATGACGTAAGAGGAAGGTCAGAATTGAGAAGGAATGATCAAAGTTAATATATGATTTTATACCGTTTTTTTTTACTTCAAAATAATTAACATTATGCACATCATTATCCAAAGGATATCACAAAAATATACAGACAGCCATGGGGTCATAACAGAAAGATCCACAATACATACAGGATAGAAATTAATAAGTCCTGGAAAATCGTATAATAAATAACCTTACATCATCCTTATAGAAACAGGCCTCTATTGAAATGTATCACCTGATTAACATCAATCACAGATATTGCGTGTTATTATGTAATGGAATGTATTAAGGTCAACTCTAACCCAATCATACAGGTGTTTCATCCCTCTAAGTACTGACAGCTGACAAGGAGCTCCTTCAGTAACATCAGTCAAAACATTTGTCAAACTATGAACCTGAAAGGGGTGGTTTGGAAACTTTCCAATCAACTGAATAAATCACTCACACGAGGCCGAAGTCACACAGAGGATTCGAACCTGTCTGAACTGCATGGAAACATTTATGTAATGTGTATGACTAAATATACAACAATATGACATTACAAATATTGAATAGATCCTTCGATAGCCCTTTATCTCTGATCATGGAAATAACAATCACACAATATGCTTACCTTTATCACAACTGGGTCTATCTTCTACCTGGATTTTGTGTACATAAATAGGTTCCTCACTAAATATATCAGAATCAAGGGGTGGTCCTTTATCCGAGAATAATCGGCTATTCCGCTTTAGTTTGTTGAGGACAAAGTCCCACTCCTCGGCTGAGTTCCACATACTACTGTCCCTGTCATGGTGGTCACTACCTTTTGTGGAGTTGTTGGAAGAATCACGTCTCAGACTTCTATCACAGAAAGCTTTCACATCTCCGAATATATCACAACTGCTGCGTCGATTGAGCCCATCCAATACCCGAGATCTTCGATTACTTTTGAACTTTTCCAGTTCATGCTCAAATTCCATAAAATCCTCATCATTGTTAAAAAAATCCAAGAAACTGTCATCCATACTGAGATCTGAGAAAACATTCTCATAAGCATCCCCTTCTTTCCTTTCACTCCCCCTGTCTCCCCTTCCCCGGTCCTGACTCGAGTCCCTCCCCCCACATGCACCCTCCCCACTACTTGCAGTTGAACCTTTCCCTGTCCATCTGAATGGGTCGAAATCAGTTGAAAATCTTTTTCTACTACTGATGGTGTCAAACACACGTTCAAACTCCTGAAAATGCTCATCCCCTTTAAAGAACTCCATTAGGGGATCGTGAAGAGAGTCTCTGCTCCCAGTGAAACAGCGACTACGTCGGTGAGTCGTTTTTGTTTTGATGCCACTCCGAGAATCAGAATATTCATACACCTCTTTCACTTCTTCCTTTAACTTCCTGAAATCTCTCAAATCTTGTTTGAACTCTTCAAAATCCTCCTCATCTTTAAAACCATGTCGAAAATACCTGTAAGACTTAGACTTGCCTATATCACTAAACTTAAGATGGAAGATGTCATCAGGAGGAAAGTTTTCGCTTCTGCCACCACTGTTGAAATTAAACTGTTCCGACCGCTTGCTGTAGTATCCACTATCATCCATCCCTACTACCCAGCTTGCTGTGACTGTGAGCAGCGAGAGGTAAAGAACTCATCCTCGGTTTTGGCCGTCTTTCAAACCTGGCTGTAACTGTTAGATCAACCTGTAGCCCTGAGAGCAGACGGCACAGTATATCCAAGCTCTACTCCGATTACCCTCCCGTACTCTAAATATAGCAACACGACTTCTCTCTGTGATAATGTGCACACCAACTCTTGGTATCCCAGTGGTATCCCTACAGCCACGACTAATGTACTATTTCCCATTCAACATGTTCAGCAGTTGTTGTACTGCCTCCACAACTTTTGTAATGAAAGCGGACGTCCTTCTTTCTGAGCATGTGCAGACAATCCTTGACTCAACTACAGTTAGTCACCCCATACGACGGTGTACAGGTGAACGTTTCACCACCACCACACAAATCTGAGTTCATTCAGCTGTGTCGCTCTCAGAGGACCGTGGTAATGTTATGTCTATCACTGATGTGGACTCAGCCACCCTGCCTGACGACACACGGGAGCGGCAGACTGTAATGTGGGCCTTGGTCACACTGAATTACCTGCTATTCTCACAAATAAACACACACCTTCATAAACACATCACACCTCCTTGAAAGGAACAGTCCACAAACCACCACGACAGTTATCAGTCTATATGTCAGTGGTCTGCCAAACGGCTCATATCAACAGCTGTGACATGATCAGAGGTCACTGGTCACAGGACAGGGGTTGAGACCCTTGTGAGTGGAACAGTTGGATACGGTAGTTATACCACATGTGTGAAAACACTTGGTGTCAGATTTCAAATCAAGATCAAAAGATGGTAATCAATTGTAGAAGTTTAAATTAAACTGGTTCAATAGAACTGCATGCACTAATGATTCAGGGAATATTGTTTAAAAAATAAGGACCTTTAGATTAATTACTGACTGTTAACGTGAGAAAATGTCAGCATTTGGAAGACGCATGTCATGGAGACTGAATTTTTGTGTTGGGTGGGACAAATGGGGACATTGAACTCATATTACAACCTTGACAGCACTGACTTTCAGTGGAGCAGGTGCTTGTGGCTAGACTTCTTATCAGGGTATTAGAAATGACAAACAGCTGTGGATGACATCGGCAATTTCAATATGACTTCAACAGACTGAATTAATAATTCTGAAAGATGGATTTCCCTAAATTAATTGAATCTTAAATTTATTATGATTGAATTAGTGACGCCAATTTCTGGTGTTCCCCACTTTGATCTTGCTGGAATATTGCTAAAAGCAGTGCAAAAGTAGAACTCGCTCACTATTGCCTTTGACCATTATTGCTCGTGGTGAAAATAATTGATTTCTAAAGCATTCAATAAGTAAATTATCGTACATTTCAAAAGAATGTTTTCAAAATATTTCAATTTAAATCTTTGTAAAAAGAAGCAGTAAATACCTTCAGGAAGTTTTAAGGAATATAATCATCTCAACATAGATGAAAAGGGATTCAACAAAGCAATCTTTCATGTCACAACAAAACCAAACATCTCTTTATTTCCCTATCAATCTAAGTAGAGAACACAAGCTCATTGTCCAATACAAATCACATGTGTTTTTTAATGACTAGGACAAGCCCTGGCCTTGCCACATGTGGGTCTCCTCACAATGAGAGTGTATATAACATTACATCCACAATAGCTTTGTAAGCCTTCTGTCTCAGCGGGTCTCGGGTCTCGTAACAGACAGTGTCACAGCCAAGATTTACTATCTTTACACTGGTGTGAACAATTTCCTCAAATTACAGATTTATCTGCTACATCTCATATGAAAACTCAGCATATGAAGACAAGAGCTGCTTCTCTGTCTGGGACTTTTGACTTGTGTTCTTTGTCTTCATGACATGAAAGATTATGAAAGATTCAGATGGTTGGGTGTACAATGTAAATACTGTGACATACATAGAATTTAGTCCTTTCCCTACAAAACATTACTAGAAATATAGAAATAAGTATCTGCACACTTATTTTCAGTTATTTCACTTAAAATACCATATACCTACGATTAATTTCTGCCAAGGTGATCCAGGTGAAGGTAAGATATGATACCACACACTTTCCACAGGTTATTCATAACCATTTACAAACCCCCTAAAACATAAGCAATAAACTAAACGTTGTTTATCCACCATAGTATCCTAAACCTCAAAATTGTCATCACTGAATGAGAGAGGGAATTGTGTTTCATGTGACTTTTCTTCATTTTAACACGTTTAACCCATTTTGGAACTTTTACGACCATGAAAACTTTTACCACTGAGTCTTTACTCATAGTGGTTTAAACATATTTATTTCATGAAAAAGCAAGAATTTTAATGAACTTGATTGGTCAACAAGCTCAAAAGAACTTACATGAAGACCGCTCCAATATACATAGATATATGAAACAGTATCATGACAAGAAAAGATGATATCTAAAATGAAAGTAGATGGTAAGACATGTAGTCGGAAAATTAAAATCATGCTGGTTGTATACATTTATGGCATCTGCAGTCGGGATCCATAGTAGTATAGCTTTGAGAATTATAGGTTTTAGTGTATGACTTGCTCAGTTAAAGAGCCTAGTTTAAATTTCTGCCAATGCGACATAAACCCATACTCACTCACTCATTGATATTGGGCAACAAATCTATCTTGGCTTTGTTTTGATTAAATAAAATGTAAATATCTGTCATTCCTAACCCTTCCAACATATTCTCTCAAAACGATTCATTTGATTTCACTACAAATGTATATTCAAATCAAGAAACAATTTGTAAAAATGTAAGTAATTTAAAAACCCAGTTGAGGTGACCTTGCTAAATCTGATGTACTAAACGGTTTACATCACTGATGCAATGTCCAAACACATAAAACTTAAGCAAAATCTGTTCTTGGTGATGCCATTCCTGTGTTGCCAGGTAAGCCTAATCGAAATGCGCAGGACAGGTAACAATGAAAGCAAGGTTTGTTAACGTGTCTATTGTTACAAGTGTCAGCACAATCCCCTCGCCGTCAACTGTTACTTCGTTGTCCTCACTGTCACAGGGGCGTGTTGACCTTCTCTTCACGCTGCTATATTTTTTCAGGACTTTTTTTCTCCTTCACTATGCATTCGAACCCGTGTCTTTGTCTTGAAAGTTGCTTGAAACCGCTGCCAAGCATTCAGAACACACTCGCAAGTTAGTGTTATTTCAAACCTGTCAGAAACTTTGATTTTTACATCACCTGCGTTACAGTCTTATGCTTCCCTACTGTTAAAAACTTCAAGATAAGGAAGAGAAATTTATGGATGTCAACTTCTTCATTATGAGGAACCAACTATTTCAGTGTTTATGAATAATTCTTTATCATTCTCTCCTTCGTGTTTATCAATTCGAAATGCCATTAAAACACTTGAACTTTTACATGTTTAACTCAGGGGAAACATCTATCAGACAATAAATAGGCACATAAAATTTACTTTTCATTAGAGGATGTAGGCCTCTGCTCGCCCATGGTTCGATATTTCAAACTCCAATTCCCCTAGACAAACACAATCTATGATATATTTTTCATTACATTATTAGTTATTTTCTTGTGATGCTGATTTCATATTGGACAGGGGTGGTGGTGTAGCCTTGTGGTTGAAGCGTTCGTTCATCACACTGAAGGACCTGGTTCCATTCCCCACGTGGGTACAATGTGTGAAGCCCATTTCTGGTGTCCACTGCCGTGATGTTGGGGGAATATTGCTAAATGCAACATAAACCCATACTCACTCACTCATTGATATTGGGCAACAAATCTATCTTGGCTTTGTTTTGATTAAATAAAATGTAAATATGTCATTCAATGGACAAGACTACATTACTCCATGCTTTGTGAAATGGGGATCAGCTGGCTACAATGGCAACTGGGGGATACAGATTGTTGTGGATTGTGGTTCCTCCTTCATCTTCAGGAAGATGGGTGAGGGACAGGTTAAGAAGCAGTCCTATTTTCATTTATCATCTTGCCTGAGCCTGTGTTTAGATACTTAAGCTGTATATTGCTGCTCCCAACAGTATTCCAGGTGTATGGTGGTGGCTGGAATCAATCCAGTGATCAACATTGTCAGCAACAATTCATATGTTCTGGGTACATGACATTCAATTGACCAAGTCATTGAACCCAGCAAATCACACCATAAAGCGAACCACTCATAAAGCGAGACTATTACTTGAAAAATATTTTGACAAAGTTTTCCATTTGAACTTCAAAAGAAATTAACAAAGAAAACAGTCAGAATTTTTAATAGACTGCCCTGATTGTATGGAAGTAAAAATCTCTCCCTTCAAATGTTTATCACTCCAAAGAGGAAGAATGATAAGATCTGGATAGATTCACTTGAACCGCCGGTAACACTTGTCCTTATAACACTGTGTTACACATACTAACCACTACTTTCTTCATCTGATTTGAGGCATTTTCATCAGTTGGATGAGTGAGTGAGCTATTAGCTTTAAGCAATATTCCAGCAATATCACTGCGGGGGGACACCACAAATGGACTTCACATATTGTACCATGTTGGGAATCGAACCAGGGCCTTCAGCATGATGAGCAGATGCTTTAACCACTAGGCTGGCTACCCCACCACCACGATAGGTCGGATGAAAGGGTGGAGGTGATGACATGGGATCTTTGTTTATCGGTACCAAGAAGTAGAATCTCATTTCAATGACTGGTTCGAATCAATGAATTAACAGTTTGTCTACTCCAGAAGAAAACTCTTACATGTTCACTGTACAAAGAAAATTTGTTTATGGTAGCATTATGGTGGAGCATATACATGTCCAAACTAAAATAGCAATATTAACAAATCCTTAAGGTATTTAGATGTTGGTGTAGTAATACAAGACAATTGTTACGGATAACAACTTCTTTGTCATTATCCACCCGAAGTAGGGGCAAGAACTAGCCCGGAAACGTCGTGACAAATAAATAAAGAAGTTGTTATCTAGGGATGCCACGATACATCGATACTTTTTCTAAGACGATACAATTATCGATACATTCAAAACTGTATCGATATTTAGTTTTGAAAGTATCGGTTTAAATATGTTCATGTATCGTTTACATTTTGCAGTTGTATCATGTTTTTTATGTTATTAGAGTTATAAATGATTATTTTTCCTGCACAAAGATGGGAAATTAGAACTTTTTAATCTCTGAGAATATAAAATCTTGATCTTTTCATGGACAGTTATGAAATACGAAATATTAATGTTCAAAATGTAACTAAATTTACGCAATAATTCCGCGAAAATAGGTATCGTGATACGTATCGAATCGTGACATGGTATCATGATACGTATCGAATCGTGAAACTTCTGTATCAGGACATCCCTATTGTTATCCATAACATTTGTCTTGTATTGACAAACCTGATAAACAAAGAATCTATTACTGCTAGTTTTCTATCCATTATTGTCTTTGTGAACACCACAGGATGTTTGTTGTGTAAGACTGCACCCTGAATATTCCACCAAACAGAAATTCAAGCTTGCTCGTGTTTACAAAAACTGTCCATGTCCAGCCATAAACACCTCTGTAATTAAA